AAAAAAAAAAAAAAAAAAAAGATTTTCTGTTGTGGTTCTACCCCAGAAAAGCCCCCAAAAGATCTGCTGAGACCATTTAAAACAGAATCTTCCCCGTTACTCCTTTTAGAAGCTCTCCTACTGGGCCGAGTACAGTGGCTCAAGCCTGTAATCCTAGCAGTCTGGGAGACCAAGGTAGGTGGATTGCTTGAGCTCATGAGTTTGAGACCAGCCTGAGCAAAAGAGCAAGACTTTGTCTCTAAGAAAACATCCAGGCATTGTGGTGGGCACGTGTAGTCCCAGCTACTTAGGAGGCTGAGGCAAGAGGATCACTTGACCCAAGAGTTTGAGGTTGCCATGAGCTACAACATTACAGCACTCTAATGAGGGCAAGAAAGTGAGACTTTGTCTGAAAAACAAAGAAAAAAGAAGCTCCCCTGTTATTTCTTTCAGAAGCTCAACCTCAGGTTGGAGGCAAGGAAGGAGACTACAGCCTCAACATTTCTGGGAGAGATAAAGCATTCTTAAGGCTCCTTGGGAACAATGGGTGCTAAATGGTTCCAGAATCTTCTGATGACAATCAGATGGAAGGACAGGTAGACAGAATCTCAATGCATCCATTCCTCCAGAAAATCTTTTTTTTTGAGATAGAGTTTCACTATGTCACCCTTGGTAGAGTGCTGTGGCGTCACAGCTCACAGCAATCTCAAACTCTTGGGCTTAAGCCATTCTCATGCCTCAGCCTCCCAAGTAGCTAGGACTATAGGTGCCCACCACAGCGCCCAGCTATTTTTTGGTTGTCATTGTTTGGCAGGCCGGGGCTGGGTTCGAACCTGCCAGTTCCAGTGTGTGTGGCTGGTGCCCTATCCACTGACCTCCAGGCACCAAGCCAGAAAATCTTTCAGTAAATGATTTAAATCACCATTTCTCACATAAAGCAGGGTGGCACCAGTTTTGGAATCCCCATCCCTTACATCAATGTCCAGTTTCCCCACCTTAACAGGATTTATGGAACATTGCCAGTGTCCATGGGATCTATCAAGTTTGAATTCATACCTTATATGTGATTGGTTTTGAGCTACAGAAAGGCAGTTTCAAATAGTTGATCCTGACGTTAAAGTATCTCCAGTGAGTCAAAGAAAAAGCTAAAGAACAAAACTGAAAGAGACCTCTGTGGGATAAAAATAATAAACACCCAAATAGTGGAGAAATTGAGAGGTCTGAGCAGAGACCTCCAGAAGCAGGCAAGTGACATCTGGAGGCATCTGTCACAAAAAGGAAGGATGATGCTATAGCCAGCTGGCGGGGCAGGAAAGCAGCCTTGGCATTTAACTGGCCTACAGTCCTTAACTGGAGGCCTTAGCTATGGTCCTCCTTCAGCTGTGACTCGTGGCTCTTAGCTGAACCATGCCTTCTGGCTTTTAATTATTTTTATTTTTATTTAATGCCTTACCTTACGCATTTTATGTGTTTCTCTTTCACACATTTCAGCGTTATTCTTCCCAACAAAGAACTTTCTAAGGCCAAGTTCCTGTCCCATATACTCAGCCTCTCTGAGAAGGGCAAGCCAGGCTTGAATAAATGCTCAGGAAGTGCTTATCAAACAGACCAGAAATCCCACAAGAGGCTCTGTTATACATAGTAAGAACTTAACTGGAAACCGGACACTCTGGGAGTAGCACTAACTTTTGGCAGAACCTTCTCATACTCTGTTCTTGGCTATACATATACATATACATTAGCTCTAAAACCCCACAACCACCTTACAAAGGACGCTACTGTTATTAATGTCATTCCATAGCTGAGGATACAAAGAGGTTTCAGAAAGGGCAAGTAACTCACCTCGGGTACAGAGGAAGCCCCTGAACTTCAGGCCCAGGTGTGCTGACCCCAAAGCCTACACTCTTGCCATTCGTTTTCTGGTTCGGACAGTACCTGCCACACTTTTATAATAATGTTCCTGGCACTGTTATAAAGCTGTTTACACACATGAATTCATTTATTCCTCACAACAAATCCTAAACAGTGGGCTCTATTACTACCCATTTACAGAATTTGGAGCCTGTGATGCCCACGACTTCTAAATTAGGACCAAAGGGAGATTCTGTAGAACAGTGAATGGGCACTGCTCTGTGTCTTGTATATAGAGGAGGTAACCTTATAATGTAGGTATGTCACCTATACCCTGTCCCAGGAGGGCTCAGGCTGGGAATTCAGCAGAGAAGTAAGACAGAGCCTAGACTAGGGTTCTCTGCTGCCCCTCAGCCATCCTATAGCATAAATTTGATTTGATTTCATTGATTGATTGATTTTTTTTTCTTTTTCATTAGAGACAGTCTCACTTTATCACCCTCGGTAGAGTGCTGTAGTGTCACAGCTCAGCAATTTCCAACTCCTGGGCTTAGGCAATTCTCTTGCCTCAGCCCCCCAGGTAGCTAGGACTAAAGGTGCCTGCCACAACGCTGGCTATTTTTTGTCATTGTTGCAGTTTGGCCAGGGCTGAGTTCGAACCTGCCACCCTTGGTATATGGGGCTGGTGCCCTACCCACTGAGCCACAGGTGCCACCCGATTGATTTTTAAGACAGAGTTACACTGGATAGAGTGCTGTGGCATCATCATAGCTCACAGCAACCTGAAACTCTTGGGTTTGAGCAATCCTCTTGCCCCAGCCTCCCATGTAGCTGGGACTACAGGCATGTACCACCATGCCTGGCTAGTTTTTCTATTTTAGTAGAGATAGGGTCTCACTCTTGCTCAGGCTGGTCTCAAACTCCTGAGCTCAGAAGATACACCCACCTTGTCCTCCCAGAGTGCTGGGATTACAGATGTGAGCCACCATGTCCGGCCTTATAGCATTAATTTTAGGCTGGAAGCCCTAGAGGTGCAGAGAACAGAATACTGGGCCATCCGGGCATCCTGGCAGCCTCCCCCGGCCATCCTTTGAAGCATTAATTTTGTCCATAGAAAGCCCTTTTACTGGCTTGGCGCCTGTGGCTCAAGTGGCTAAG